ATTGTAACTCAACATACTGTATTTTCTTTCTAAAAGGTAATTCAAGCCTGCTCTACCAACTGAACTATCCCAGCAAAGGGTATTTGCATTAAATCGCAAGACAGCCATGCTCCATTTCATGTTATAATATATCTTTGCAGATTAGGCATAACCCTGTTTGCAAAAGGTTGTAGCAAGAGCCAGGAAGCTGGCCTTCTTCAGCAGCTGCTGCTAGTGCAAACGTACGGTAATTAATATTGCGCTGCACACATGTCAGAGTTGACCTCTAATATTGAAACAAATTCTGCAACCAAGCCTTTGCATATACAAAGCTTGGAGGACCACATTCTGATAAGTGCTCAATTTCGACAGATAGTAGTTTGAAGGGGCAGAGGGCGGGTTACTTAACTGACACCCATTCCCATTATGCAAAGTGGATCTCCCTGCTGATTATTTCATGTGTAGCACCAAATTTCACGTGGAAAACATTGATGCCACTGAACTTTGCAATGATCCAGTTTGGAAGGCAAATCTGCCATGCTTGTAAAGCACACTAGAATATACTGAACTGAACCAACCACCCCAGCCCCGTAGTTCTTTGGTGGCTCAGGTTACAATCCAAGCTGAAAAAGACCTTCTCTTCCTACCTATATACCTGGCTGTGGCTGCAGTGATGGCAGCAAAGAAAGTCTTACTCCCTTTTGTTTCCTTTCACCTTCATACTTGAAATGCTAGCACAGGGATGTCACAAAAACCTGCATTTCCCGGCATTCCTAGGGCCTGCAATTTGCCATAACCGTATTTCAAGAACCAAAGAGGAAGGAGTGGGGAGGAGAGAAAGTGGGGAGAGAGGAGGCAGAGATCTCATTCCATCTCTGCCACTGACTCAGCAAACAGAAACAGCAGACTTCTGCATTAGTCAGGCAATTAGGTTTGTGTCTCACAATGCAAGGAGGGGATTCAGACCCCATTGTGCTGCTGGTGATGTAATTGGGAGCACAGTTGGGCTCAAAGTGGGCACAGGATAGAGTCCAGAATACACAAAGCTTCTCCCCTCGCCCCAACATGAGAGAACTCAGTTGGCTGAATCCAGTTCTGAATTGAACTGGGAAGGGGGAAAGAGTTGTTGAGAATGCCCAAAGGATATGAGCAACTGCCATAATGTCTGATGACGATGTCACCAAGACATCTGGTGTGGTGTGAACACTCTCCACTTTGTAGGCTGTTGCAGGTTACACCCCTAGTGTGGAGAGACACGACAGAGAAGCTGCTGTGGTGTGAACAAAATAACATACACCTAATTGATTTCCCAGTGGTTATACCAAGAACTAAGGATATCAACAATCAGCTGGTCTATGTTGCCCTCTGTTATCTGACACACATCTGCTTTTTGTCTTGTTTCCTAAGTGCATAATTTCAGTAGCCAGTTGTCAAACTGCTGGCCAAGATCTGGACCTTCTCATTTGCTAACACTTTGCTTCTTAGAACTTGCACTGTCATCACAACTTCCCTCTTCCCTCTTCCTTCGCCTTTTGTTTTCTTTAAAAAGCAAGGAATCTGTTGCATTTTAGGTAGGGTTGCCATATTTCAAAAATGACAATCCAGACACAAAAGTTGTTGGTTTTTTTGGCAAGTTGTTGAGCGTTGCCAATTTCCACAGACTCCCCTTTGGCTAGTTCCTCAATGAACCCCAAAATTTCTGATGATTATATTTTTCACCCTTTTGTGGGGCAAATCTTGACATTGACACATGAGGCAACAATAGCCCTACTATGCAAACATTATCCACTTGCCATAAATTTCAGCAGTCTGTTTCACTCTCCTACATTCAGGGCTGGCCCTACCATTTGGCAGCAGATACCAGGAGGAAACATCTCCCCTGAGCCACCTGGCCTATTGGGCATCTGCTAAGCAAGCCTGCTGCCCTCAAGTGCTGTGGAGGATAACATCCCATTGTCAGAGCTGAAATAAGGCCCCATCTGCAACATTTAAAGGAGTTTCATGTCACTTTAAACACTCATGGCTTTCTCCATAGAATCCTAGGAACTGTAGTTTTTTTAAGAGTTCTGCGATTTGTTAGACTTATATTCCCACCACAGAGCTGCTGTTTCTAGAGTAGTTCAACAAGCAATCACTCTTCCCAGGTAACTCTGGGAACTGAAGCTATATGAGTGGAATAGAGCAGTGTTTCCCAACCGGTGTTCCGCGGCACACTACTGTGCCGTGAGACATCGGTTGGTGTGCCGTGGGAGGGAGGCGGGCGAGAGGCGGCGGCGGCGAGGATCCGGCGGGGGTGGGGGGAGCGGGGGCCGTCGCGCGCAACCGAACTCACTTGGCGCGCTGCCGGCTTGTCCTCCTTCAACCCGGGTCGGGCCAGGCCTGCTCACGTCCCCGGATCCCCTAGCAGCAGCCGCACGCTCTCCAAAAGCGCAACGCTGCGCGCAACCGCTCGGCCAGCTGGTGCTCTGCGACTCCGCCCTTTCCCCTCCCAGCGCCGGAGGGTTCGCGCGACCGCAGCTGTTCCCTTTCGCAGCGCGCGGGAAACAATTCCAGGCCGATTGCCTTGTGCCGAAAAGCACCGCCTCTCCTTCCAGCTCAGGCCCGGGCCGCCGGCTCCCCGAATGACGTCACGGGGGCGGGGCTTTAATGGTGGTGTGCCGCGAGATTTTTTTCCGGTAAACAGGTGTGCCGTTGCCCAAAAACGTTTGGGAAACACTGGAATAGAGGTCTCCTAACAACTCTCAGGACACATAACAAGCTACAATTCCTGGGGTTCTTTGGGAGAAACCATGACTGTTTAAAGTGGTATCATGGTAAACTTGAGGCCTAAGATTCAACTGCTGGTTCAGTCAGCTTCTGTACCTTAAAATGAGGGTGGGTGGCCACTTGACTCCAACAGAGCAAACACTGACAGCTGTGGACCTCCCCATGTAACTTTGAGCTAGACAGCCTAACCTACCTCACAAGATTGTTGTAGGGATAAAAATGGTTGAAGAGAACCATGGGCAATCCCTTAATCTCCTTGAGGAAAGGGAAGATATGAATTTAATAAATAAATTAAAGGCCAGAGGAAACTGCAATCCTATGTATGTTTGCTCAGAAGTAAGCCCATCTGGGTTCATGGGGGCTTATTCCCTTGTAAGTGCATTCAGTATTGCAGTCTACGGGAAACTGCAAATGCAATACTTACGCGTTGATCATCCAAGAGTCTTTTTGTGATGTGAGTAGCACTCCTTCGCAACCTTCTAGGATGGCTCTTATGTCTAAATAGATAATGATTTTCAAGTGATCCAATCTGCAATACACAGGATGATTTCTGAGATATTTTCCCACAGGGAGCAAACAGTCAATAGCAACGGATAATTGGAATTTCCCAGAAATGCTTCGAATATAAGAACATTAAATTTTGCTGGATAAAATATTTATTCAAAAGCAGAAGTGCAAAGACTGTGGGAAAAGAACTGTGTCTCCACCAATATTTTCCAAGCAATTAAACACGTGAATAATTGTCAACATACACTGTTTTTAAACTAATAGCAATGTGTCTTGAATAGAGCAATGTGTTGAAAATATGCACAGGGGACAGGATTTTTCTTAGAATTAAAAGGAACAAATAGGTTCCAACTCTACTACCCATCTATGTGTACAGACGATTAACTGTTAGGTGCTTTTTGTTTAGAGCATAGGACTTCTCCATCCTTATCCTCAACCAAAACAAAGGCTGAGGACATGTAAATGCATTTGCCTACTTTCATTTGCCCAGGCTTTTCCTCATCAGACCCTGTTTGAATTCTTTCAGTTCCAGATAGATAGATAGATGATAGATGATAGATGATATGATAGATGATAGATGATAGATGATAGATGATAGATGATGATAGATGATAGATGATAGATGATAGATGATAGATGATAGATGATAGATGATAGATGATAGATGATAGATGATAGATGATAGATGATAGATAGATAGATAGATAGATAGATAGATAGATAGATAGATAGATATGGAACTGAAAGGATTCAAACACAAAGGAGTCCCAGGTGTCAAAAAAGCTTATTTATGTATGCTACTACTGTGGCCCGTGTTTTGCTAGCCCCAAAACGGAAAACAAGCGAGGTCCTAACCAAAGAAGAATGGCAACTTAGCTGATGGAATACGTGCAGCTTTCAGATTTAACATATAGAATAAGAGAACAAGAAGAACATACGTTTAAAGAAGACTGGAAAATGTTTACTGAATATGTGGGTGAAAATTGTGTTCATTTAAAACCGCTGGTAGCATTAAGATAAATTCAGCAGTGTAAATAAGTTTTGATGGATGTAGCAATGGATTACTGAATGGTTTAGTTCATGCAAAATATGCAGGGGTGTATGGTATGCAAGCAAGGGACGTGGGTGGCGCTGTGGGTTAAACCACAGAGCCTAGGACTTGCCGATCAGAAGGTGGGCGGTTTGAATCCCCACAACGGGGTGAGCTCCCGTTGCTCGGTCCCTGCTCCTGCCAACCTAGCAGTTTGAAAGCATGTCAAAGTGCAAGTAGATAAATAGGTACCGCTCCGGCGTTTACGTGCGCTGCTCTGGTTTGCCAGAAGCAGCTTAGTCATGCTGGCCGCATGACCCGGAAACTGTACGCTGGCTCCCTCGGCCAATAAAGCAAGATGAGCGCCGCAACCCCAGAGTCGGTCACGACTGGACCTAATGGTCAGGGGTCCCCCTTTACCTTATGGTATGCAAATGAACCATGGAAAGAGAAGAAGGGAAGTCATTGATTTAAAGTTGTCTAAATGAATATTTTCCCCTTCATGGATCACTGCCTTGCCGTGGCGAAGGGGCTTGAAGAACTCAGAGAAGCTATGAACTATGCCGTGCAGGGCACCCAAGATGGACAGGTCATAGTGGAGAGTTTTGACCAAATGTGATCCACTTGGAGGAGGAACCCGCAAGCCACTCCAGTATCCCTGCCAAGAAAACTCCATGGACAAATGAATATTTTGAAATGTAAATTAGAAAAAAATATAAAAATTATATATATAAATAAAAACACATAAAACAGGAAGCAGGCCCCTCTAGCCCAGCATCCTGTCCCACCATGGCTCCTAGATGCCTGTGGGAAACCCAGAAGCAGGACATGAGTAAAAGAACACCCTCCCCTTCTGGGGTTTGCAGCGGCTGATAAAGGTAAAGGGACCCCTGACCATTAGGTCCAGTCGCGGACGACTCTGGGGTTGCGGCGCTCATCTTGCTTTACTAGTCGAGGGAGTCAGCGTACTGCTTCCCAGTCATGTGGCCAGCATGACTAAGCCGCTTCTGGCGAACCAGAGCAGCACACGGAAACGCCGTTTACCTTACCGCCAGAGTGGTACCTATTTATCTACTTGCTCTTTGACGTGCTTTTGAACTGCTAGGTTGGCAGGAGCAGGGACCGAGCAATGGGCGCTCACCCTGTTGTGGGGATTCGAACTGCCAACCTTCCGATCGGCAATCCCTAGGCTCAGTGGTTTAGACCACAGCGCCACCTGTGTCCCTTTCGCAGCAGCTGGTACTCAGAAGCATTGCTGACTCCAACTGTGGAGGCAGAGCACAGCCACCTCATGATGTATTCCACTCTCTCTTCCTCGCTTTTCTCTTATCCAATGGCCTTGCTCTGGATTTCATTAGACAGCACTTCTTGGATTCCCCACAGCTCATTTCATCATTTTCCATTCTTTCTCCGTAACATTGATTTACCCCAGTATAAAGTCGTCTTGCTCATCTCTGGGATATTAGAGTGAATGATATATGGAATCGCTGTCGGCCTGAATGCAACATGTTCAGTGCCCTCCACTTCTCATTACCAAGTGATCATCACGGAAATGATAATTGGTAGAAATGTCTACGGTAGTTTTGTTTGCATTGCTATGCTGAGATAGCCTGCTTCTGCAATGCCACAGTGATCTTGTGCAGCAGCCGTACAAATTCTGGCTTGCTTAGAATCCTCATTTTTCCTACTTTGTGTTCTGGCAGTTGGAACTCATGTTACATGGTATGCAGAATTTTGAGAGGACATTTACTTGGCCAGAAAAGCAGGACTAAATCTTGGAGCTTATTCAAATATGGTTGTTCAGCAGTCAGGACAGGGAGTGGGTTTTATTTTCAGCATGGATGGAGATCTAATTCCCTTTGCTAAGGTGGCACCAGTAACATAACTCCTATTTGTTGGGTTGTAATGGCCTGGCATGTGTGGTTCTGTTTTAAAATTCCTGGCACATTGGCTGCAACAGTAGCAGGTTGTAGACTCCAGCCATTTAATTGCAATTATGAGCAAATGTTAGGAATCATGTGGAAATCTAGATGGAGGAGAGGTGATCAATGCATGCCTAGAAACTACCCAGCTAGTGGCATAATACAGGAAGTGTTAAAACAGAGATAAGAGCTTGAGTGATTCTGCCTTCTGTTAAGCACTAAATGAGCCTGGTTTCAGTTCTGCTCAGCAACAATTCTTACCGGGTTTTTAATTGGGACAGGAAATGTGAGCTCCTAGAGCTACAACTGTTGCCTGATTCAGGCAGTATGGACACAGGTTGGTTGCCACTGAAATCACTTCTGGGGCTCCAGGTAGCCACTGTAATGTTCTACTCAGCTCCCGCATATAAGCCTGCCAGCGGTTAGTAAATAGCCATGCCAGGGCCACTGCCCCCAGTGGATCTGGCAAACATTTGCCAGAGCCAGTTATAAGTGTTGGGGCTGTGTCGTGGAGCTCCTACCATGTGGAAGTGGTTTACTGCTGATAGCAGCCCCCACCACATTTACAGCACTAGGACCTGGGCCATATAACATGTCACCCCCGTTAGCTTCATCTCAGAGCAACATTACCGCCTCCCATTTAATGCAGCAGCAATCTAAGTGCTACACATCTTCATTAGAGTGCTTGCAAATGTCCGCCACTACTTGAATTCCAAATGCACTACAAACAGCAACTCCCATGTATTATCCGTGTTTAGATCTTCGGGAAATTCAGCAAGGCGGAAATATTTAAAATAAACAAATCAAAATTTCTAAAACGAAAGGTGCCAAAGCGGTTCTCGACAGGCTTGGAGCAACACCCTCCGAGCTAGAAAGCCTGCCTTCCAAATCAAGATATATACGTGGCAAAAGAAAGGCAGACTTTTCTTTATTATTACTTGACAAGCTCCAGGGATGAGCTATGGCTATGGAATCAGAGACACTTGCTGACTCAAATTAAGTTTTGACAGGAGGGGAGGATCGAAGTGCCTATGAATCAGTTGATCTTGTATATAGGAAACCTGGCCATGAGATGTGCATATCTACAAAAATTCACAGTGGCTTATTCTCAGGTAGAGAGAACCCTCTGCAAAACAAGGGGGGCATTTAACTCTGCCACGCTCCCTATCAGTTGCAATCTCTTTGCAACAGCTCACGGCCCTAGATTGTGCCAAAGTAGCTGACTCGGTTAGGGTGCAGAAGCTCGTCGCATGGTCTCTGGACCTGGACTCAGGGGCAAAACTAGGCTTTATTTCACCCAGATCAAAGACCCAGTTTGGCACCCCCACACACATTTGTGTATTACACACACACACACACAGAAATAGAGAGAGAGAGAGAGAGAGAGAGAGAGAGAGAGAGAGAGAGAGAGAGAGAGAGGCAGGCTGGGAGCCTCAATGACGCTCCTCTGGAGGTTTCACCAGGGGCAAAAAAACCTGGCTAGCCCCCCCAGCTACAGCACTGCCTGGGCTACATTGCCCCTCATTGCTCATCTCGACATTACGCTGTATTCCTGGGTGCCTCTGTTCTGCTTCATTGGGTGGTCTGAGTCGTTGCCAATGCAATATTGTCAACACCCACTGCTGTGTAACAAACAGGCTGGGGTAGGCTTGTGTCGCTGACACAAGGACACAGGATACAGCAGTGAATCAGATCCTATGCACTTCTATTTGCCAGCACAGCAGTTCGTCAGCACTACCTTTATGGGGGCGCGGGGAGTTAAATTTGCTTCCAGCAGTGACAACGGAGCTTGTTTCAAGCATAAGAGGTAAGTGAGGATCATAAAAGAGAAAGCAGATGTTAGACTTTGATCTCCCCCCCTCCGTGCTCTGCATCACTGGACTAACACACAGACATATTAGGCTGTCTCTTTAGAAACCAGATCAGAGGGGTTTGGTTTCTGCACTACTGGAGTCAACTGCTGGGGTACAGGATACAGGTAGGAAACTCTACAATTAGATAACGGGGCAAGGTTGCTATTACGTAAATGAAGTTACTCATCCCTGACAACAGTGACGTCATGGCATGACAAACGGGGGGGAGGAGGTGGGCTGGAGGGAAGGGAAGGGAGAGGAGATTGTGGAAAACACCTGGCGCTATTAACTTTTAGGATACAGTGTAGGATTGCTGTTGCTCAATCCACATGGCACCTTCACCAAACCACGGAGGCACAAAAATCTCCCTAAGAGCAGAGGGTTTGGGGAGAGAAACGGCAAGTGGATTCATTGCTCTGGGCTGGTAGAACTTTATCAAAGGAGGAGGGAAGGAAGGAAGGAAGATAGAGCTCATTCTTTGTCTGAAAGCTCGGTCCACGGAATGACGGCTTCCTCCTGCATAAACCCAGATGTCTGTGTTTACTCAGAAGGATGGGGGAAAGTACTCTGCACACGCATTCTCCTTCTGCATACTGCTTCACCCATCCCCGGGGAATTATCAATTCTCTCGATTGTTGCTTCGTATAATCCTGGCAACTGAAACCGATCCTGAGGTTGGAACCCCAGCTAAAGGCATTCCACCTTCGCCTTGGGGAGTTGTAGGGGTTAATGCAAAGCAAGGAAGGTCTCCTTGCGGGGGCTTCCGAGAAGGAAGCATACCTCGTCTCCCCCGAGTTGTAATTCCCAGCGCCTGCTGCCGATTCCGCTCCGTTTGGCATTGTCCCTGAGAAAGCCACCTCCCGCAGAACTCAAGGGAGTGTGCTATCCCTAAAGTCATTTCCTCAACTCTGTTTAAAATTATTATTATTATTATGCAGCGGTGTGCGTAGAAAAGCAAAGAATCCTGTGGCAGGAGAGAAAGCTTGGGAACTCTGAGGACTTTCCCCGGAGACTGTGTTTGCCATATGGAGGGAGAACTCGCCATCGTGAGCTAGGAAACCCACCTACCACTCCCTAATAATAATAATAATAATAATAATAATAATAATAATAATGGCACGAGAAGTCTTTGCTTAAGGGAATCAGTGTCTAGAAAGGAGCACGTGACGTGCGTAGCTCTGTCTCAGCAACAGAGCCATTAGCGCACAGCCACTATCTCCAGCTGCTAGTCAATGGCATCGCTTGTCAATTACGCGCGCCGCCCGGTTCCTATTCGGGAAAGCGGGAGAAACAAACTTGCCTGCTTTGCGCAATGGGGTGGGAGAGGGGTGGAGTGGGGAGGGAAGCGGGGAGCCTTACCTGCCCCAGAAATTCATACTGCAGCTCGTCGGCGATGGCCTGGGCTGCTGCCGGACCTCCCGGGATCTCGGCTGCCCACTCGTTGACGAACTGCCTCTCCGCCCGGGCCAGCAGGACGGCTGCGCTCCAGGCAGCCAGCAAAGCCACGGCCGCGCTGCGCCCTGCCCAGCCTCGCCTCTCCATGGCAGCCGGCGAGGAAGAAGGAGGACCGGGCGCTTTGGAGAGAACGAGGAGAATCGATCAAGGAATCGAGTCACAGGCAGCTGGAGAAGTCAGGATTCGTGCTTCAAAAAAAAGGAGGAAGAGTGGAAAACTCCTTCCCCACTCTGGTTGCTATGCGATCAGGAGAAAGGCTGGTGCGGGGCGGGGGGTGGAGAAGGAGCTGGCTGTTCTCAAGAAAGTGCCTGGCTGCGATCACAGGTCGCCCGTTTCTGCCCGGCTCATGCTTGAGCAGGACTCCAACCCGCCACAGCCAGAATGGAAATGAGGGCTTGACACGTCAAAACGACGAAAGCGATCCCTGACGTCAGATCTCCCGGGCTCGGATCGAGATGGTTGTTCCCAAGGGAGAGGAGGAGCTGGAGGCGTTTGCTAATATAGGGGGTGGACTGCAGGATTTATTATTATTATTATTATTATTATTATTATTATTATTATTATTATTATTATTATTATTATTATTAACACACACGAAGGGGAAATTCTCCAGCGTCTCTGTACCAGGAGCTGTCCATGGTACGAAGGCTCCGGCAATCCGTCTCACTGTCCGTCTCTTTCGCCTCTCTGAATGCGTTGACAACCCACCGCCGGCTTCCCTACAGATAAGCAACGCTCTTTCTGTAACATGAAGGTTGCCCGCAAACGGATGGGCATTTCGATCAACATATTGTTCCTGTTGCTTTCCTGATGCGGTGCCTCCGGTCACTGTCTTTCGGAAGCTCTGTGGTTCACACTGCCAAAAGAATCGATAAAGATCTTGGGGGTTAGGTGGGAGAGAGGTTTTAGCTGATGGGCTGCTTGCTTGTAAACAGATTTCAAAGAGGAACGTACGTGTGTGTGTGCAGTTGGGGATCATTTCCCTATCTAAAGTTGGGAGGAGGGGTCTGCCCTGTCAACCTAAGAACAGTTATTGTGACCCCACATGCAGGTCTTTTGGGGCAACTTCACAGCTCCTGTTGGGAAGATGATTTATTAGGGTTTCATGCCTCGCCTACGCCAAAGCCTAGAGGCAATGTACAAAATGCACAAAGTCACAAGCCCAGCATTTTGAAACTGCAAGATTTGTCAGGGAAGGGGTTTCCCAGTTCTATACAGGGTGAAAGGCGTTCTCCACAAAGTGAGAATGGAGGTTATACATCCAGGCACATTGCATGCAGTGGGAAGAAGGAAGAGAATGTGGTAGAACAAACATGCATCTGTCCACACCTGCAGATTCTCCACCATTGCTACCCCAATACGGCACATATTTTGAATTACAGAGGTTTTTTTCCAGGCAGGAAAGCTGGCATTCCTCTCCAGTGTACAGGAAGGTGGGTATTTAAAACTTTATTTAGAAACTGATACCCTGCTGTTTTAAACAGGAAGAAAAAAAATCACAAAGCCATTAGGAACCTTATATACTGACAGTCTTTAATTCCAAGTCCAAAATGGCATTATCCATGCTGCTCTTCTTATCAGATAAGCCTTAGACTCCTGGGATTCACTTGGCTTCGACAACATTATTGTCACGGCATTATCAAGCCATTTCTAGCGACCCCTCCCATGTTCCCTACCTGTTTCTCCAACCAAACTAGCATGAGTCAATGCCAACATATGCCTCTTAAGAGCTTAGAGCTTGCAAGTCAGGATGATGATTTTAATGTTTCCAATTCCCCATTGCATATGCCTTTCCTATGTGTCATATGGACCTTATAATCCCTTTAAGAATATAAGAAGAGTCTTGCTGGATCAGGCCCACTTGCCCATCTAGTCTAGCATCCTGATCCTAGAATGGCCAACCAGATGTCTGTGGGAAGCCCACAAACAGGATCAGAGTGCAGCAGCAGTCTTGTGATTCCTAGCAATTGGCATTTAGAGGCATGCGGCCTCCAACAATGGTTCCATGGGAGCCCTGATGCTGGCCAATGGTGTGAGATGATGGTGGGTGCAAAGATGTCTATAAGTCATCAACATCAACAAAGATGGCTACAAGTCATTGGAGAGAGGAAGTGGGCAGCAGCAGCTCCTGCAAACACACTGTCAGTGCAATCCTCTGCATGTCTGCTCCAAGGTAAGTCCTATTCAGGAGGAGCGGGTGGCGATGTGGTCTAAACCACTGAGTCTCTTCAGCTTGCCAATCAGAAGGTCGGCGGTGCAAATCCCCACAACAGTGAGTGCTCCCGTTGCCCCCAGCTCTTGCCAACCTAGCAGTTTGAAAGCATGCCAGTCCAAGTAGATAAATAGGTAACACTGCAACAGGAAGGTAAATGGCGTATCCGTGCGCTCTGGTTTCCATCACGGTGTCTCGTTGTGCCAGAAGTGGTTTAGTTCTGCTGGCCACATGACCTGGAAAGCTGTTTGTGGACAAACACCAGCTTCCTCAGCCTGACGCAAGATGAGCACCATAACCCCATAGTCACCTTTGACTGGACTTAACCGTCCAGGGGTCCTTTACCTTTTTTTTTAACCTTTTAAAGTCCTACTCAATGGAGCTTACTCACACTTCCTTATAACTGTGTCTAGCATGAATTGGTCACTTTTGACCTTCCAAATGTTGCTGTACTCAAACTCCCACCAGTCCCAGCCACCATGGCCAATGGTAAAGGATGATGGAAGCTGCACTCCATTAACCCTAGGTCGACCACAGTTCCCCATCCCTGGTGTATAGGACTGCAGTCTGCATTTTGTTTAATGCGCAAAATTTATTGTGCAGTCCCTTTTGTTTCACCATTTCTGCTATCTTCTCCTTGGCTCCCACAGTTAGCATTATCATGTTCCTTTGCACTGTCGCTCTTTCTCATAAGTCCCCAATGACCTTCCTTCCTGATTCTTTCTCAAACACCGACTTCACTTTTCGTAAGCACTGGTTAGTTGCCTGTCTTTATCCCCCCTCTGAACCCCCTCTTCTCATGCAATCACTTTCCTTTATCTATCTTGTGAAAATTGCTTCTTTCCTTGACCTTGTTTGTTTCAGTTACAGGTAGGTAGTCGTGTTGGTCTGCCGTAGTGGAAAGAAAATAAATAATTCCTTCCAGTAGCACCTTAGAGACCAACTAAGTTTGTTGTTGGTATGAGCTTTCGTGTGCATGCAAGTGTATCTGAAGAAGTGTGCATGCACATGAAAGCTCATACCAACAACAAACTTAGTTGGTCTCTAAGGTGCTACTGGAAGGAATTTTTTTATCTTGTTTGTTTCAGTTATCACAGCCCCAGTTTACCTCCAACTTCTATATCCAAATCAGAGTTTGTTCCATCCTCATCACCCACTTTGGGTGTTTGCTTATCAAGATGACTCGAGGTTTGCCTTAAGTAGTGGGACAATTGAGAATTCTTTTCTTTGTTGTGCTGTGCTATTGTTTTACATTGGCCTGCGCAGATTTCTAGATGGGTCTTTCAGTTGTCCTCCATGATTCTGAAGATCAAGAAACAAATAAACCTAAACTTTAATTTTAGGTTTAGCTGTGGTGGTGGTGATGAACTGCCACCCTTTTGGCCTAGGAGTAGGATGACACATGGCACCACTTAATGCAAATTAGTTCATCCTAACGGGTGCAATCCTATACTCACTGGTTCATGGGTCAAGGGGAGTTGAAATGAAATGGAGGCTGCCAATTCCTGTTGAAAGCCTGCAGAAATGCCCCTGTATGCTGTACAAAAAGTCCACAGAGCCTCTCCATTGGGAATATTATTTCCCTGAATCCTAGGCTGAAAGTGGGCAGCATGAATGGAGGAACCCAACTACACCAGATCCTAGTCTCTCCATCCCATGAACTTGCCTGTGAACACAAAATAAATCATGCTAGGACAGGACCTGGAGAAATTAATTTCCCACCCATTGACTCTGATGGGAAGGGACAAGGTTGGAAGAAGATTGCAGCACCCACCAAACTTTTCTGATGGTTCCCCCAATGGTAGTCAGAATGGTTTGGACTTGGGATGGAGTTCTGGGCCTGTGGATACTCAGCCATTGGATTTCTCAGAAAAGCTTATTTGGTAAAGTACTGTAGTTTTGTACCATTTAGTATTTGCAGTTGTGGTGGTTAAATGATTAAAATGTGGTATGTGGGTGGGTGGGTGTTAAAGGGATTCAAACCACCATTTAGGATCGTTAGTCAGGATAGTGGTTATTCTGTTAGTCTTGTTAGAGAGAGAGAGAGAGAGAGAGAGAGAGAGAGAGAGAGAGAGAGAGAAGCTCAAGCATGGACAAGACAGGCACTAGTTTCTGGGCATATCAGAAAATCAGCTAGTAAAATGGAATATATATTTGCAGATGAAGTTAGGGGCACTGAGTATTATTTTTCTTCATTTACAACACAATCCTATGCATGCTTACTTAGAAGTAAGTCTCCACTATATTTCATGGGGAAGCATAAATAAGATTACTGCGTTAGTCACTGCACAAATCCATTATAATAATTTTAAACCTGAAAAATTAAGAAATATGTAATGATGGCCTTTTTCATTAGCATGGAATATTCCATGCAGCATACAAGGGATTTAAGGGTATTTTTATTTTGGCACACTATAGAGGAAAGAAGATTGCCTTACTCATGCAAAACTTCCATGGAAGATTTCAATTCTTGGACATCAGTGGTCCAGAGTACTACTATTGTTACTATTAGTACTATTCATTTCATTTCTATACTGCTTTATATTTTTAAGAAAAAGATATCCAAGTGGTTTGTAACCTACTTTAAAAGAGCAAATAAAAGATTCCAGAATAAAACCTTACAAAAAATGAAATATAATCATATATAAATATATAAATATCAGGAAACTTAAATTACCTGAAAGATTTCAAATAAAACATTACAAAAGGAGGTCAAATATAGAAAACACATTTAAAACAGCATCATTAGCCAGAGTACAAAATATTATCTTAAACATACAACGTAGGTCCATAGTCTAGGACCTTGGTGTTTGAATGAAGCAAAGGAAAACAAATATTCAACATACCAGGGTTAACACATGTCAAGTAATTAAGGTAATCATGTCCACTTTGGAATCAGTTTCCCTCAACGGCTGGTAAATGCTCTCTGCTCAGCAGCTGTATTCTCTGATGGGTAGCAAATCCATCAAAGGTTCTTTGTCAAAGTTCCCTTTCCAGCATTATTGATTCCAACTCCTTGTCTCTCACTCATGCTAGAAAGGCAATCCTGGGAGGGCAGATTACCGTATTTTTCACTCTATAAGACGCACCAGACCATAAGACACACCTAGTTTTTGGAGAAGGAAAACAAGAAAAAAATATTCTGAATCTCAGAAGCCAGAACAGCA